GGCTACAGTCCTTGATCTTCTGCAGCAAGTGCTTCAGGTCCTCCTCACTTTCAGCAAGCAGGGTTGTATCCTCTGCATAATGCAGATTGTTGGTGAGTCTACCTCCAATCCTGATGCCACACTTCTCTTCATAGAGCCCAGCCTCCCGGATAATCTGTTCCACATATAGATTGAAAAGATATGGAGATCAGAGATATAGGTACTATCCAAAAGTTTTCGGATATGCTTGTTTCTAACTGTTGTGGCTTACTGAATAAAAGCAGCTGAATTTGAGACAAGTTCAGTGTCATTTCCTTCAAGCACTAACACACCTTTCAGGGCTTGTGACACTGAACAAGCTACACTTTGGTCTTCTCTTAACCCTATAAATGTATTTTTCACCTTAGAAGGTATGGATTTCAACAAGAGACCCATTCTCCTGAACAATGTTGATGGGGAAGTGAGTGTTCCTTATCTTGGAAGGGAAGCCTGGTTGTAACATCTCTGATCATTGCTTAGACATGACTACAGATAACAGACTACAGTCCTGACTTTTCTATTCCCATTTGTCAACTCAAAGCTGCTGCTGCTTCTTTCTGAAGGAGACTGAGTTCTACATTGATGTTCCTTTAGGACTTGTCACAACAATGGTGCAGCCCTTCGGAGTGAGTGGAACATTTTTTTTTTTTTTTTATGTCACCAGACTAGTTTCTGAGACTGGTCTTCAACCTAGCACTTTCTTGTTAAGGGCTATTGAGTACAACTCGTAGTGACCCTATGAGCACCAGATCTGAATCTCGTCCTATCTTCTGCCATCCTCATCTTCTCTGACACACTTGAGCCTATTGCTGCAGTCAATGTGTCAACTCATCTGGTTGAGGGTCTTCTTTTCTTTTTCTTTTCTTTTGCTGACCCTCTCAAAGGGATCTCCTAGCAACAGACCCAAGGTATGTGAGACAAAGCTTTGGATTCAAGGAGCACTCTGACTGAACCCTCGCCAAGACATAGCTATCTGTTCTTTTGGCGGTCCATGGGATATTCAGTACTCTTCTCCAATACCACAGCTCAAAGGCATCAATTGTGCTCTCATCATTTTTCATGGTCCATCTCTCAGCAGCATAGCTAGTGATTGAAAAGACCATGGCCTGAATCAGGTACACCTAAGTCTTCGAACGGATATCTTTGCTTTTCAGTAATTTGGAGAGGTCTCTGACAGTAAACTTACCCAGTGCAATAGATAATCGGTGAGAAGCATTATGGAATATTACTGAGCCATGCAAAGTAATGAAGTTAGAGACATACTGCAATGCAGATAAATCTTGAAAATATCATGCAGTGTGAAAGAAGTCCGTCACAAAAGATCATATGTTGTGTGACTCCACCAGCTGCTCCATGGGAGAAGGATGGGCAGTCTCCTCCTGTGTGATTAACTGCCTCTGAAAACCTGCCGGACGGTCAGCTTCGGGTCAGTTCCGACTCGATGGTATACAACAACGACAGCAACAACAGGGTAAGTAGTGACAAAAGCCAATGCTTCGGGCATTGCCAATGCTTCATTCATGACAATTGGGTTTCCAAGGCTGTAAATCTTTGCTGGAGCAGGCTGCCTCGTTCTTCTCACATGGTGGACTCCTATCACCAACGTTTCCGTTAGCAGTACCAAACCTACAGTGTCAAGTCAGGTTCACGTGATGCATCCCCACAAGGCCGGATGAGTGGAACCAGCCCTTAAGGCTTCAAAGTGTAGGGCTGGCAGCCCAACCCTTAATTCACCATGCCATCCTTGGGATAAAGAAGCAGCCCCATAAGTCAGAGGGCAAAAACCATCTTAGCCAGAAAATGCAAATATGTGAGGAGGGATCCACTCAGTTTGTTTAAGGAACAGAAAATAAGACAGCATGGGAAGGATCCAGAACTGGAAAATCCGTGGAGACAGAATACAGACTGGTAGCTGCTTAGGGCCAGTGTGGGGAGGAGTGAATGGGAAGTCATTGCTTCACAGGCTCCCTTTAAGGGTGATGAAAATGTTCTGGAACTAAAGAGTGGTGATGGTTGCACAACATTGTAGCTGTACCAAATGCCACTCAGTTGGCCACTTGAAAATGGCTAATTTTCTGTCCTGCCTATTTACCACAATCTTAAAAAGGAAAGTGCTATAAGAGGGTTAATTTGAGAAGTCTGTGATACTTTGATTCAACACGCAGCTGCCCAGACCATTCTCAGGCACTCAGAGAACTTACAAAGGAGAGGTGCAGCCTCAAGAAAAGGAGGACTTGGGGAAGGGAGGGCGGGGTGAGGTGGAGTGTGCTTACTGGCCCTCTGAAAAGCATCCCTTCTGGAAGGTATTTGTCTCATAGATTGCCAGTTGTTCACTCTGTTTGTATTTAAATGAAAGGAAGCTTTGAAGTGGGAGCCACCTCCAAGCCCTGCTTGGGGTTCCTGCTTCTTGTGGTAAAGTTCAGACTTGCCCAGATCCGTTCCTAGCCAGAGGTTACTGTTTCTGGTGGCAAAGGGCTCCAGTTTGGGGTACCAAAGAGGAAGAGCACGAGTTACTTGAGGGAAGGGGGTAAGGAGTGGTTTTCTGAAGGACGTGAGGTGAAAAAGCAGCTATCTGCTTCCACCTGCATGATATGGGGGTATCTTTTTTTGCTTTTTAAGGTCACTAGATTTCATTGTATTATTAATGTTGGTTGCATCGCATATCAGACCCTCGTTGTGAGGAACATCATTAAGTCAACACATCCATCAGTGGAAGGTAGAAGTGCTGGGTTAGGGAATGGAAAGAATTTAACTGATGCTTACTTGAGGAAAGTCTAGACTCTTTGAATGTCTCTAAAAAATGGCAGAAAATGCATTTGTTGTTAAGTTTACTTAAGGGGAAGGGGGTGAAGGCTCTCCTAAGTTTCAGAGTGTTCTGCCAATTTGCAGAAATTGGAAGTCCCAGTCATGGACGTATCACAATCTGTCTGCTGATTGATGCTGATGGTCTCTGTAAGTTACTAGAATGTAAAAGGCACTGCAGTGGGCATTTAAAACAATAGTCTCACGGGTTTCGCCACCTCCTCCCAGCCAAGCAGGCCAATGTGGTTTCCAAACAGCAGCAGAGTAGGCTCCACAAACCCTAAGAGGATGATAATTGTAATGATAGTTCATATCTTCACCCTATGTAATTTTATGGGAATTGAGAGTCTAGCCAAATAATAAGTTCCAGCCCCTTTTATCTGTCCAGTTCCCAGCACACTCCCCAGGTGGCTGCGGCACTTCTCACCCTAACCTCTTAAAGCAGTAACAACAGTAATGGTAAGTTCCCAGTCTGCACGGTTTTCTTCTTTAAAAGAGCTTCAAGAGCCTCAAAACACTCATGAACAGAACCTGACAAAGCTTGGAGGGTGGGAAGCCTTTTCCAGTCCCAATTTTCTGGTAGAGGTATGGGTCAGTCTCCCCCAAGAGGCTTAAAGAGGAGTGTGAAACCTTTTCTCATCTAGTTCATTCTGATCCTTCAAGACAGACTAGAACTGGCCCATAGGGTTTCAAAGGCTGTAAATCTTTAAGGGAGCAGATTGCCACTTTCCCTCCCCCTTTGTTTGTTTTGTTTTCCTGCACTGGTGGATTCCAACCGCTGATCTTGAGTTTAGCAGCTGAGTCCTTAACTTCTGCATCACCAGGCTGGGGGTGTCCCTAGGCTACTATTCCGTGTGTCCTGGGCCCGCACTCATTCCGTTGCTGGATGTTACTAGCAAGTCCCTTCAGTTCTTTGGACCTTTTCCCCCCTCGTGCAGCAGGTGTGGTAAAGCCAGGAGATCTCTGCTGAGATGGGAGGGTTCTCCTGCTTCAGGATTAGGTTGGACTTGGGGCAGAACCGGGAAGTCCTTGGATGGTCCTTGTATGGGGGTAGCGACTGCCTCCCAAATTCCCAACAATCACGAGCCGCCGTAGAATGGGAAGCAGGTATGAGGCGGCCAGGTGAGGGTCTAGGGCAAGCTCACAGTCCTCAGTGCCCCAAGTGCCTGCAGCGTAGCAAATGCAAGTGATGTAGGGGACTTCCACCCCACGCCCAGGAGTTGGCCAGCAGGAAGGTTACTGTCCCCTCCTCCCCCCGCCCGGACTGCGGTGCCACCGCGGGGCAGGTATCTCAGTGTGAGAACTCGGCGGGGTTCTAGCTTGCGGGCAGCCGGTCAGGTGGCTGCAATCGGAAGCCCTCGAGTTCAAATGTGAGCTCTCGGGACAAGTGCCTGGTCACCTCATCCCTCCGGACTCAGTCCCTTCGTTGCAGATCAGTTAGTCTTTCTTTCCGGGTGAGGGGCAGAAGGCAGGATCCCCGAACTCACCCCCCTCCCGCGAGGGGCGGAGTGGAAAGGGAGGAGGGAGGAGCCTGGTGGGGCGTGTCAGGCAGGGAGTGCTACGCGCCCGCCCGGTGCGGCCCCCTAGGAAGTGGAGCTGGCCGCTCCGGATCCAGCGCCGCTTCCAGGTTTTCTCCCGGCCCGGCCCTGCGTGCTCCCGCCTGTCCCGGCCCCCCCCCTCCCCACCGCCCGCCCCCTCCTCCGGGGGCCGCCCGCTTGGCCAAGTTTGCGGAGCGTCGCCGCGCACGCCGGCCACTCAGTCAGCGGCAGAGCTGAGGAGGGTACAGCCGCGCGCCGAGGGCAGAGTGAGCCGAGCCGAGCCGGGTGAACAGAGCCGCGCCGGGCCGCCCAGCCAGCGCCCGCCGCAGCGCCCACACCCTCGCGCCCCCCCGGTGCTGCCACCTTCTCCGCCTCCCGGCGCTCCAGCCGGCCGGCCGCCGGTCAGCTCTCCCCGTCCGCTGGCCCACGGAGCTCCAGGTCCCAGACTCCTGCCTCCGCGCCCTTGGGCCGCACGCTGCCTCCGCACCATCTCCTCCTCCCGTAACTGGGCGCCCGGTCCCGGGGACCGTTGCCTGACGATCGAGGCCCAGCAACACTTCTCGCCCCGCGCCCCCGCCTCCTGCCACTCTTCTCCTCCAACTCCCAACTCCAAATCGTTCGGCCGCGGCTCGCGAGCCCCTGCCCCGGCGCCCCGGCCCGTCCCGAGGCAGCGAGCGCGCCCGCCCGGCCCGCACCATGGCACGGCTCAGCTTGCCCGCGCTGCTCTGCACCCTGGCCGCTCTCGGCGCCGCGCAGCTGGCCGCCCCCGAGCCTAAGTCGAAAAGTTGCTCTGAAGTGCTCCGTCACTATGTATCCAAAGGCTTCAACCAGAACGATGTCCCTGCCTACGAGATCCACGGTAGGTGAGGGCCCCGGGGAAGGCTCCGTGCACACCCGCTCGCGCCGGGCGCAGGTATTCGAGGGGGAGCAGTGGGCCTGCAACGGGGAGCCAGAGCGAGCACAACGGTTCTCCAGCTGGGGCGTTGATGGTAGGGGGGCGCCTCGGACTTTTCCGGTGCCACTCCCGCGCGCTGGTTCTCCAACGCCGGGCGCTCGGCGAGGTCCCTGTAGGCTCCCAAAGGACTCTGGCCCTCAAAGTGTGTGTCACTGGCTCCCTCGCCTTTTCCGGGTTGAACTTCTCTTTAGACTCCCCGCTTTGTTGTGTGGGTGACGAGAGGCCGGGCGCGGCCCGGGGGGATCGGGTGTTAGGGGGGTGAATACCCTTCTGGGGGCGCAAAATGCGGACCGTGAGTTCATGTTGCATTGATTTTTTTTTTTTTTAATCCCTCCCTGTCCTATACCGCTGACATTCATTAGAGGTTGCAAAGTTGCTGCAGTGGTTTTACAAGTTGCTTTTGTAAAAAAGCAAGCGATGCCTCTACCCCCACCCCTTCCTTCCACATCCCGACTTTTGGAAACTCCGGCTTTCCGGAAGGTGTTGGGCAAGCAAGGTACTTCCCTCCCTCTACCCCCTCTTCCCTTTTTCTTTCTCGCCTCACTTTAGGGGTTAATTGCACTTTCAATTACAGACCTTTGAAAGGACTGATTACAGGAAACCCGAATCTGGATTTGGAGATGGTTATGCAAATGAAGACTGTGTAGCCTGCGGAGAAAGTTCACCAAATTTCGGCACGGGGGTGGGGGAGCATTTGCTTAAGTGCTCTGCAGCTGAACGTCCCTCTCTCCGACCGTCCCCTCGAGGCCAGTGGCCCTGGTCTGCTCAGTCCCCTCAGGGTTGCACTTAGCTCCAGTGGCCAACTGTTGCGCGCAGCCCTGCGGGCCGCTCTGGAGCCGCCTGCGGCGCAGGTAGCTTGTTTGCCCCAGGAATCAGAAAGCACCCGGGACCTAGCTGGCTGGAGGCCAGCCTCCGCTAACGGCAGCAGGGGAGCTTAGAGCCCCGGAGCCGAGCCTCCCTTTCGGAACCTTTCATGGAAGTGAGCCTCACCGGCTTGAGCGCTCGGGTGGGGCGGGCAGGGGGCGGGCAGCCAGCAGAGGAAATAGTGTAATTTCAACCAGGCGTTTCTAAAGGCGCATGAAGACTTGGGGGTCATTTTTTGGATGGGCTATTAATACCCTTGGAGATTAAGTGCAGTCATCAATTACATATAAATTACCAAGGTAATTGAGGGGAGTTGCAGGGCGCTTTCGCAGGGTAACCAGCCACTGTCTAGAAATAGAACCTCAGAAACTGTGGGAGCCGCCCGAGCGTCCGCGCCACCTTGGCAGTTATCAAATAACTCACACAGTACTGATTAGAGACTGTTTGCCCTTGAGCTGCCTGTCTTTTGGGGAGCTTAAGTGTGTCCTCGCAGTGGCCCGATTTTATTGGTTGTAGATCCCTGAAAAGCCCTTTCTTTCCCCCTCTCCCTCCCGCCTCTGCAGAAAAAGCGAAGGGAACCAGCAGCCACAGGAGCTTGGGGGCTCCGGCAGGTCAGACCTAGGGTCTTTCTGCCCCCCCCCCCCCGCCCGGTTTGCGCCTGGGAGCAGCTGAGATTATTGGCGTGAAGGTTACAGTTGTCATTCCCACATTTTGAAGGAGTAGATGCAGTGATGCACTTAATGTGAATGTGACAAGTTTTCATCTTCTGCTCATGCAAACAATATGTGCCTTTGAGATGGACGGGCGGCATTCAGAGAGCGGGTTGTGCAGTCGCCCTCCCCACTCTTTGCCAGGCGTGCTGCGTGTGTGCAGCGTCTTGGAGTGGCAAGACCCATCGGCTCACATCTTAGCCCCACTCTCCGGGCTAGGTGCTCCCTGTGGTTGCCCTTGTCCCCCACCCCCAACACCTGAGGAATTTTTTTTCCCCTCCATGCCTCTCTGGAGCATTTTCTCCCCAAAGATAGGGGAGTTATTAGTGGGCAGCAGCAGGAAATGGAAGCTAATGTGCTCACACCCAAAACATTTTCTTCTTTTTGTCTTGTCCTTCATCTCCCTCCCAGGGCTGCTGCTTTTATTTCCCCTTTTGAATGACCTACTGGACTGCATTCTCCTGAGGAACAAAGGAAGTGCCTTTTTAGCTGGAATCCTTGGAAGACCACCAAGGACTTTAGCTCATGCAGTGCAATTTCGCACCACTTTCAACAATAACAAAAATGCATGACTGAATGGCTCAAAAATGTGGAGTGTTAGAGGCATTCATCTGAGTCTCGGACACTGTCACAACACAGACAGACCCAAGTAAATACCTTTAGACGGCCAGTATAGAAATCAGGGTAATCTTTACCACTACTCTGGCCTCTGCATACATTAGCCAGCCGCTTCTTCCCTGGCTAGCACGCAAGAGAATTTTGATGGTAATTTCTTAGGGGGAAAGGATAAGAGATGAAAGCGACTTATATTTATCTTATGCCTGAAATTATTAATTGCCAGGTACGTTCCTTGGAGCTTAAGGGTGGGAAATGCAAAAATATTTTTGAAACATCTGGGTTTGTTTTCAAGGCAAAGAATTGCAATGTCTGAGTCCCTAGCTCCTGGAACCCCAGGGCTAGCCCAAGTTGAAGGTTTTAGACTCTGTGGCCTTGCACTTGTCTTTTAGACATTTTAACAGGCTTTAAGAACACTCTGTATTCTGAAGGAGGCTCAGTCTTTATAGATCATAATGAAGATAATTTGATGTGCTCTCAAGGGTGTCGTGAGTACAACATGTTGACAGGGCCCCAGTCGAGGCCCTGCCTTCCCTATCCACTTGACCCTGTACTTCTCAAATAATGGGGCGCCCTGAAGCCATGATCAAAAGGGAGCTTGAACACAAAGGGGATGTTTCTGGTCAGAGTTCAATGAGCGTATCTTTTGGAGTGCCTACTATGTGCAGTGCTCTATGCCCAGAGCAGTAGAGGCAGAAGAATGGTAGGTGGGGGCCTCTGCGCCCCTGCCCCCAGCCTCATTCAGAAGTTATAGGGAGAGATAAACCCCTGCCCCCACACTCTTGGAATACAATGTGGTCTGTGATAAGAACCACAGGAGTGGCACTGACAGTGGAGAGAAGTGTCTACTGACCTGTAAGGAGGATGGGATTAGAGTACTAACAACATCATGCTCATGGATTAGGAAAGAAAAAATTCATAATGATAATAAGAAATTTTAAAGTTGTATGATTTCCCTCTATAAAGGCAGAGGATAAAGGACATTGTACTTGAGGAAGAGTCTAATTTTTTTAGGTGGCTTAGTGGCAAAGAGTTGTGCTGCCAACCCAGAGAAGGGTACTTGGTTTCAATCCATCAGTTGCTCCTCAGGAGAAAGCCAAACAGTCTCCTCCTGTGCGATTTACTGCCCCTGAAAACCCACTGGAGGGTCAGCTAGGAGTTGATTCTGACTCGATGGAACACAACAACAATCTTTGTTCAACTGACCCTACCAGTAAGAAAGTTGTTGTTGCATACTGTCTAGTCGGAACTGACCCATAGCCGACCCTTCGGTGGGTTTTCAGAGGCAGTTAATCCCACGAAAGGAGATTGCCCATCTTTCTGCAGAGCATCTGGTGTATTCAAACTGCATGCCTTCGGGATTGCAATGCAACTTCTTGCCACTAGGCCACCAGAACTCCTTTGTAAGGCAGAAAGTAGACAAGACACCAGTGAGCACTTTGTGCAACTAGTTGGGATTTTGGATTTTTTATTTCCCATTGTCATGCACACACACATATGCTCATATGTGCACACACGCACACATGCACACATGTGTCTTTTTAAAAATTTTAATATTTTTGTGTGTGTACCGCCAAATTGGATCTGACTGGTACAGAAGGAGATTGTCCCTCCTTCTCCCGCAGAGCATCTGGTGGATTCGAACCGTGTACATCTGGGATTGCAGTGCAGCTTCCCACCACTAGGCCACCAGAGCTCCCTTGCACGCATATATTTTTAAGGCTTCTGGAAATTGTTTGGTTCATGTTAGGATTCCATGCGGGAAACGTGCATATATTGGAGTGGTAACAACACTTTCTGTTCTGATTTTGAGTTTATTATTATGTTTAAGATGTGTATGCTTTCTTCTCCACCAGAAGTAGAGATGTTAATGTTTGCAATATCCTTGTAATCTGTTGGAATTGTTATTTTGGTCCCATGTAATTAACTTGAGGCCTGAAGTAGACATATGGGCTACCAAACCTGTAACTATAGAAAGCATCCCAAATAGTATAGCTACTGTCTCCAGACAAAGTTCTGGCTGCTGTAGCACCATCTCTCACTCAAATGTACCATGAAGATAATTTTATTCAATATAATTACTGTTTTTGGTTTGTATTTGGTTCACATTGAGTTGCATACAATTTCAGGATTACTTGATGACTAGACTAAGGAATGAAGGAGGAAGGGGTGTGTGTGTGTGTGTGTGTGTGTGTGTGTGTGTGTGTGTTTCTGCAGGGGAAACAATACTGATAGTAATCTAAGCCGATTGCAAGTGAGTGAGTCTCATTGGATCGCTAATAACATAAACTATCTTGGCACTGAGGTTTGGCCTCCAAAGAGCTCTTTGAGTGCTTTCCTTGGGCTCTTACCGAGGACTTTACTTGATACTCTCATTTCTAGCCCACAGCACTTTTTCCTGGAGTGGATTCCAGCTCACGATGATCCCACATGTTACAGAAGAGAACTGTTATTGTGATGGTGAAGCACCTGACTGCCACTTGAAAGGTTGTCAGTTCAAACCCACTAGCCCTGCAGGAGAAAGATGTGACCGTCTTCTCCTTCCATAAAGATTGTTGTTATGGACAGTTGAGTCGGAAGCAACTCATAGCTGATCCTGACCCTTTTCATAGATTTTTAGAGGCTGCAAATTACAGAGGAGAAGATGGCCCATCTTTTTCCTGTGGAGCATCTGGTGGAGTTGAACCACATGCCTTTGGGTTGGCCATACAAATT